ATCTTCCTACTCCCTTCTCCAGTTGGATCTTCTGAACTGTTTCATTGCACCCATCAATTAGAAACAACCCACACTCTGGGCGTCTCTTATCAGTGAAAGGGAACCCAGGTGCAGTAAAATAACCGCATTTAAAGGGCGGGCACTTTTTATCCCACCACTCTTCTTCACCAGCAGAGTGAAGATTTTCAAGAGAAGTGAGAACCAGAAAAAGAAACAAGGATACAGCAGCAGGAGCCATTAGGAGAGAGATTCCAAATTCAAGAACAAGCAAAGACAACAGAATAACAATAGATAGAAGGAGCTAAGTTCTATTGGTCTGCTGTATCCGAGAATACAATAGACAAAATCGGGGGAAACAGACCGAAAGCGAGCAAGGTGAGTTAATCCATATATATACTCCAAAACAATAAAAAAATATTTTATTTTGTTGATAAAAAAAAAAAAAAATCTTTCTATTGGTCTGCGGTGAGCCTTAGCTAAGAATTATGAGTTCCTGTTGACCACCTTCACCAGTTCACCTCTTTACAGCCGTCTAATTTAGAAAATGAATACGGGAAAGATTTGTAAGTTTGGGCTCTTTGAGAGGTTCATATTTAAGAGTGTTTCGTCTACCTACCAAGAATGGCATCGTTCCGCGTTTAGTCTACAAAGAATTAAGGTTAAAATCAATCTTTAGCCCCTTCACTTTACAAAATTAATAGGTTTTAATTCATAACTTTATAATATGATAATTTTAACTTTTTAACTTACAAAATTAGTAAATTTTAACCTTTCATCTTATAAAATTGGTAGATTTTAACCTTTTATTTTATATTATGACACTTTTAGTCTTTTATTTGTACAAATTGAAGAAAATAGCCCTTATTTAATATCATATTATAATATTCTATTAATTTTATTAGCTGATTGTCAGTTCTGTTAATTTACTGTTAGCATCTATTAGCATTCCGTTAATGGAATTAACAAATAAAATTAAATTTAAATTTCATATTTTTTCTAACAGAATGCTAACGGATATTAACAGTTAACTAATATAACTAACAAAACATTATAACATGATATTATGTGAGACCTATTTTCTTTAATTCGCATCGGTGAAGGGTTGAAAATATCATAATAGAATGCAAGAGGTTAAAACCTACCAATTTTATAAGATGAGGGGCTAAATCTTATCAACTTTATAAAATAAATGGCTAAAACTGTCGTATTATAAGATAATAGGTTAAAACCTATTAAATTTATAAAGTAAGAGGCTAAACCTTCGTTTTTACCAAGAATTAAACCGGCAGAAATGGTTCAATGTACTTTTGGGAAAGTCTAGGGAGAAGTCAAGAAGGTCCAGTGGGGTAAAGTTAGCAAAAGAAAAAAGACTTTTGACGAAAATATGGTGCCCGTAATCCAAGTTTTGGTCAAGTTCGAAAAAAATAAATGATTTATACTCGTCAGCAAACAGAAGACTTACTCGTAGATGAGTAAAATTAGACGAGTATGTGACTTATACTCATATATTAAGCTAAATGGTTGAATTAATTAGTAAATAATATTATTTTATAAGATAAATTTAAAATTTAAACTTTAAATTTACACTTAAAAAAATTAATTTCATTAAATATATTATATAGATATAAAGGATGCAATAGTGT